GAAATCGAATTTTCGACCCTTGCCGCGAAATTAAGAATTTGTCTGATTTTTACAGGCAGGGACTCTTAAAGGCTGGTTTTCACTAGCGAAGTAGTCGTACTCGGAGTCATAATCAGAAGCGTAACGCGATACGATCTACTGAAAATCAAACCGCTTATGACTCCGTCGCTCATGATCTAGTGAAAACTAGATTGTCGGAGTCAGAAGCAAAAGCGAAAGAATAAACCAGTCACAATGCTCGACTCCGGGCCTTGTGATTGGTTGGTTCTTCCGCTTCTGCTTCCGACTTCGATAATCTGTTTTCACTAGATCATAAGTGACGGAGTCGTTAACGCAATCGGAAGAAATGGAAACGTCCTGACTCTTCCGACTCCGATTCCGTCGAGCTTATGACTCCGCTTACCACTCCGATTTTCGATTTTCTCTAGGTCGTAAGCACTCTTATGTCTCCGACTACGACTCTGACTCCGACTCCGTCGCTAGTGAATACCAGCCTTAAGACGTCAATTGCAAATCAGCATTCTTCATTAACAACACCTATTTAAGATACTTGATTAGTGTTGTCATCTGTGAATTCTGAATTGAACCGATGTTGCTTTTACTTGACTTCAAACTGTCCATACTTAATATAGAATCCATGACACTATGTTAGGTTAGTAATGCTTGGACATTCATCAAGGCTTCCTGCAAAACTAACCTGACAAAATGCACCATTGCTGTTTATAGAAACTGAGTTGTTGTTTGGAAAGTCGACACTTCTGCTCTCCGCAAAAAGGGGACGATGGATTGCTTCAAACGCCATCCAGCTCTGTAGGGAAGACAAACAAGTTTGTTTAGACTAGCTGATGAAGAAAAATATTGATCTCTAATAAAAAGCGAGTCAAAATTCAAGACTGGCCTTCAATGGTCTGTTGAGCAGCTAAACACAACCAAACCATAAGCCATATATAATGAATACTTAATTCCCAAACAATCGAATAAGGATGAGTGCAGGGAGCCTCCTTGAAGGCGACCTACTTGAACAAGCCGTTTAGCAAAATTTTGCGTGCCTTTTAGACCGTGACTTCTTTTGAATTCGTATCGGCCTTTCAACTTTAAATGAAACGATTGAAATCAATATACACATACCACAAAAATGTCCTCGTGAAAACCATCATAGTTCTGCAACTCACGGAGACAGATATAAAAGTTGGAACTGGTTGCATTCTCTATCCAGAGGCTAGCAGCATCGTGCTTGTAAGCTGAGCTAACGTGATCTGCTGTTGCTAGAACCGTGGGCGTACCGGCAAATTTGCCCTGTTGAAAATAACCAGGTATTAGTTGATGAACTAGGAACGGTATTTATGCATGGTGAGAAAAATAGAAGTCAAATTGGTCTA